CCTTGGAGACCCTGTGGTGCAGTTCCACTCTGTCCTCTAGGGGTGCTGTGGGTCAGAATGGGCTCCAGGCAATGGGTGTGGTTTGGGCTTTGCTTCTGTGAAGACTGACAGCCTTGGAGACCCTGTGGGCCAGTTCCATTCTGTCCTCTAGGGGCGCTGTGAGTCGGAATCAACTAGACAACACCTAACAGCAGCCAAGGAGACACATTCCTAAAAGTTGTCGTGGTTGATGAATAATCACCAGAAGGAACACCTACGTATGTTGTGGTTGGGTTTCTTTTTGCTGATTTCTGACCTAGGAGAGCCCAGGTGTGACAGTAAAACTACTCCACGAGCTTTCCTTGGCAGTCATCTTTATGGAAGCAGATCACCAGGTCTGTTTCTCCCATGGTACCACTGGGTGGGTTCTAAGTGCCAACATTTTAGTTACCAGTCAAGCACAAAATGTTTGCATCACCAGGGACCTAGAAATATCTAGACATTTTGTGTGTCTCTCTCAGATCTTTACCATAGTTGTGCCAGAAACACTGATTCAAAAACTGAAGCACTTAAAGTATTAGTGTTAACTCAGGTCATTTTTCATACCTAAAATGGGAAAATACTACAAAGTATATACCTACATGATTTAAAAATTAGTATATAACCATATCCTTTTTTGTTTTTCCCTCCCTACACTTAGATATTGTTTTCAGTAAATGGATCAAGAATGCTATAGCAAAGATAAATATTTTCAGGGTATCTCATTCTATTCTGTTATTTTCATAATTTTTAATATTTTTCATAAAAAGTATTATTTGTTCTAAAATGGATCATGGTAATGTTTGCACAACACAGTGAATTTGCTAAAAACCACTGAATTATAAAACAATCAAAGACATTGGCAAGATGGCAGAATAAGCAGACAAGCTACCCAGACCCTCTACAACAAAGAAACTAGAAACCAGTTGAAACAAATACAGCATTAATGCTAGATCACTGACCTTCAAAGTAAAGGATAAAGAAGTGGATTAAATACTGACTAGTAGAAGAACCTGAATGACAACAGTGAATAAGGAGATAAATGGAGCTGTGGACTGTGATAGGCATTTTGAATATCTACAAGTGGCATTCCGCTCAGGGTGACAACCTGAAAGTCAGCTCTATTTGCCAGGGACTGCATTGGCACCCACACTAGTGACTGGCACCAGAAAGCAACCATGCCCACATGACCCAACCAAATTTGCACTTCCCGCAGCCCCACCCACTGGGCAAGGGCCACTACCTACTTCTGCACTAACTGATCAATGATAGGCAGTGGCCAATACCAGCCCAGCCTGCCCTCAACTGCTCTAAATGAACAGCAAACAGATCTCTGCACGCATTCTCATCTTGAATCACACCCACCAGGAGACAGGCAGTAAGTACTTACGTGTTGCCAAACTAGCTAACAGAATAGCACACCAACTGCTCACTTCAATATTCCGATAAAAAAATAAATGGAAAAAAATGGGTAAATCACACCACATACAATCACCAATATAAATACAATGGCATCAGTGTCTCAGAGACAATGGACAATCTCAATTCACACAAAGAAGCAAGATAAAGTATACACACAAAAACACTTCCACCTCCTACTTTGGCAAGTAGCAACTGGGATCTTAAAACTTGCAAGCAGTCATCTAAACACAATGATGGGTCTCTCCTCATCCAGAGTAAAGAAGAATGAAGAAAACCAAACATTCGTAGAAACAATTAGTCCAAGCAAGTGGTGCACCATGCAATCCTCAGCCTGTATGACTATGAGACTGGAAGAACTAGATGGTGCCCAGCTAGCACTGTCAGCCACTCGGAGGGGGATCTATGTAGGAGACTGGGCAGAGTGGGAACTAAACTCAAAATCATTTTAAAAGGGGGGGGTGGACCAGGTTTGCAAGTCTGATGGAGCCTGGTGGAACCACTGACACACTATGGCCTCCAGCTGCCCATCAGGCCTGGAATTGATCCCACACCTGTTTCTTCCAGCCAAACAAAAGACAGGCATATGAGTTGAATATTTACCTGAGGTAGAAACAATCCTTGGAGAGCTCAATTATGGGAAAATAGAAGGTCTGTGTATACACAGGCAGACAGCTCAGGGGTGGGGGGCAGGAGTACATGGGAGGGAAGGACACAGGGAGGAAGTAAGCTTGGGGAAGAAGTTGGAGGGGAGTTGTTGCACTGTGGGAAATTGTAGTCAATGTCATGAGACAAGTGTATGTGAGTTGGTGTATGGAAAGTGAATTTGCTCTGTAAACTTTCACCCAAATCACAATTAAAAAATAAATAAAATAAAGATAAAGTAGCACAGACAAGGGACCAGAATCCAGAGCCAGAAAACCTCACTGAGCAAGAAGTGGTATTGGAACTAGCTGTTAAGGAATTCAAAAAAATTATATTTAGGTACTTTCAACAGATTGAGAGATAGATCAAGGAAAACATTGATAAAATTAAGGAAAACACAGACAAAATTCTAGAACAATTTAGGAAAACAAGAACAAACTGATAAAACAAATGAAAATTTAGAAACCATACAAAGCATCAAATAGAAATCCAGAAGATTAATATAAAGAGTTCAGAAAAAGAGAACACATTGAAAAGGCAAAGGAGTAAAATCAAATTGATGGAAGACAGAATTAGTGAGATCAAAGACAAATCACTCAATAGTACTTTGTTAAGGGAAAAATCTGAATTTTTTTTTTTTTTAACCTGAAGACAGCCTAAGATTTATTTGGGACATCATCAAGAGGAAAACTTACCTATGATTCCAAACCAAAAACCCATACTCAACTGCCAGCAGTCCAGTCTCAACTCACAGCGACCCCTCCTTGAGTTTCTGAGGTGGTATCACTATGGAAGTAGATTGCCCAACCTTCTTCCCCAGGAATGGCTGGTGGGATTGAACCGCCAGCCTTCTGGTTAGTAGTCAGATGCCTTAGGCACTATGCTACCAGAGCTCCTCATACATGTGATTAGAATTCCATAACAGGAAGAGACAATGTACAGACAAAATTGTTGAGTATCTGTGGGAAGAGAACTTCTCTACTATGATTATAGCCAAGAAGATATTCACTCAAGAAGTTCAAGGAATCCCAAACAGAATAGACCTCCAAAGAAAATGACCAAGACATATCATAATCAAAGTTTACAAAACTAAAGACAGAGAAAGAATTCCAAAGCAGCACTGGAAAAGGGAAATATTACCTACAAAGGGCAATAAATAAGACTAAGCTCTAATTTCTCAGCAGAAGCCATGAAGGTGAAAAGGCAATGGGATGACTTACATAAAACCCTGAAAGAAAAAAATTGCCAACCAAGAATTATATACCCAAAAAACTGTCCTTCATATATGATGGTGAAATTAGGACATTTCCAGATAAACATAAATTAGGGGAATTTGTAAATACCAGACCAACCTTACAGGAGATGCTAAAGGGGTCTTTCAGACAAAGAATCAACAACAGCAGAAAACAACCTGTGATTAACACATATGACAACATAACCCAGGAACAAAACCAGACATAAAAGTATCCAAAGTAAAATAAACTTACAAGGCTTTAGACAGGTTACCAGAAACATCGATTTGTAATTGAGTACAGCTACAAACCAAAAAAGAATAGTGTAGTAACAGAATTTCCAAATGGAGAGGAAGTCAAAATGATTGCAAGATAAAATGGACTGTTGTCAACTTGAGTAGAAGATAATAAATCACAGGGTAACCTCAAAGAAAATTGATAAACATTCTGATCTAAAGCAGAAAGAGGAAAGACACACATATTTAGCAAATGCTCAAAGGACAGCAATGAAGAAAATGATTTCAAAAATTCCTGACAAAATAAACTCAGCACAGAAAAGAAAATGCAAGAAATCAGCAACACCATGAAAAAACACATAACACAATGACAGTAATGGATTCATGTTGTCGTTGTTGTTGTTGTTATGTGCCGTCAAGCCAGACCCGACTCATAGCGACCCCTCCTTGGGTTTCCGAGACAGTATCACTACGGAAGTAGATTGCTCCATCTTCCGTCTGAGGAGTGGCTGGTGTGTTTGAACCGCCAGCCTTCTGTTTAGCAGTCAAGCGCCTTAGGCACTATGCTACCAGAGCTCCTACTTGTCAATAATTACACTGAGTATAAATGGACTAAATGCACAATCAAGAGACAGAGAGTTGCAGACTGGATAAAAAAACATGACTCATCAATATTCTGTCTACAAGAAATACAATGTAGACACAGAGACAAAAATAGACTAAAAATTAAAGGCTGGAAAAACATATACAAAGGATACGGAAAGCAAAGAAGAACATGAGTGGCAATACTAATTTCTGATAAAACAGACTCTAAGAAGAAAGCCAACATGAGAGACAAGGAAGGACATTTTATAATAATTAAAGGATCAGTCAAACAGGAGGCCATAACCATAATAAATATCTATGCATCCAATGAAAGAGCCTCAAAATAATAAATCAGACTTTAACAGAATTGAAAAGAGAAATAGAAAACTCCACAATAACAGTAGGAGATTTTAATAACAACAACAAAAAAAAAAACTAAACTCCCTGCCATCGCATCAGTTTCAACTCATAGCAGCCACCATTGGGTTTCCGAGGCGGTAAACCTTTACATTAGTAGATTGCCCAGTCTTCCTTCCACAGAGTGGCTTGTGGTTTGAACTGCCAACCTTCTGGTTAGCAGTCAAATGCCTTAGACACTACACCACCAGAGCTCCTTACACCACTTTCAATGAACATTAGAACTAAAAGAAACTCAACAGAGATGAATGAAACAGCGTAGTCAACCAACTTAACCATACAGACATCTACAGAGCACTTCACCCAACAACAGCAAAGTGTACATTCTGTTCTAGCACAAATGGGACATTCTCCAGAATAGACTATATTTAAGGCCACAGATTGAATCTCAGTAAATTTTTAAAAATGTCAAGATACTGCAAAGCATCTTCTCAGATCCTAATGCTATAAAATTAGAAATCAACAGTAGGAAGATCAAGGATAAAAAAGCAAACACATGGAATAATAAAACACACTGCTGTCCAATCGGATCCTACTCATAGCAACCCCTCCTTGGGTTTCCAAGACGGTGACACTACAGAAGTAAATTGCCCAACCTTCCTTCCAAGGAGTGGCTGGTGGGTTTGAACCGCCAGGCTCCTGGTTAGCTGTCAAATGCCTTGGGCACTACGCCACCATAGAATAATATATCCTCCTTAAAAACTACTGGATAATAGAAGACGTTTTAAAAATCCCTTCAATTTAATAAGAACGGAAACACAGCATACCCAAATTTTGAGGACACAATAAAAGCAGTGTTCAGAGGGCAATTTATTGCCAAAAATGCACACATCAAACAAGAAGAGCCCAGATTAACATTAACGCAACATCCCCAGCAATTAGAACAAAAAAGCAGAAAATAAACTACGGTCACCAGGGAAGAAATAATCAAGATTCAAGCAGAAATAAATGAAACAGAATAGGAATAATCAGCAAGACCAGAAGTTGGTTCTTTAAAAAGATTAATAAAATCAACAAAGCACTGGCAAATTTAACAAAGGAAAACATGTAGGTAACACAAGTAAGTAATGAAATGGCAGCTGTCACAACAGAATCAACTGAAATTAACAATATACTATCACAATATTATGAAGAACTGTACTCCAACAAATTCAAAAACCTAGAAGAAATGGATAGATTTCTAGAAATATAATACCTACCCAAACTAACACAGACAGAGATAGAAAAATGAATAGACCTGTAACAAAAGAAGAAATTGAACAGGTTGTGAAAAAACTACCAAAAAAAAAAAAAGCCCTGGTCCAGATGGCATCACTGGCAAATTCTATCAAACATTCAGAGAAAAGCTGACATCAATTCTACTCAAACTATACCAGATTATATAAAAGGAGGAAATGCTCTTAAATTCATTTTATGAAGCAAGCATAACCCTCATCCCAAAGTCAGGCAAAGACACCACTAAAACAAAACAAAACAATCTCACTGCCACCGAGTCAGTTTCCGACTCACAGTGACCCCTCCTTGGGTCTCTGAGGCAATCTCTATAGAAGTAGGTTGCCTAGTCTTCCTTCCGAAGAGTGGCTGGTGGGTTTGAACTGCCAGTCTTCTGGTTAGTAGTCAAATGCCTTAGGTGCTATGCCACCAGAGCTCCCCACCAGAAAAGAAAATTATATCCCAATATACCTCATGAACATAGACACATATGTTCTCAACAAAATCCTAGCCGATATACTCCATCAACATATAAAATAATAATAAAAATACATCATAACCACGTGGGATTCATACTAGGTATGCAAGGATGGCTCATTGTTAGGCAAACAATCAATGTAACTTATCACATAAATAAAACAAAGGTGAAGAACTTCACAATCACATTAGTCAATGCAGAAAAGGCATTTGACAAAATCCAATTTCATTCCTGATAAAAATGCTGAACAAAGTAGGAATAGAAGGCAAATTCCTCAACACAATTAAGGGCATATACACAAAACCCATGACCAATATTATTTTCTACGGGGAGGAGACTGAATGCATTCCTCTTACAAGTGGGTACCAGACAAGGATGCCCTTTATCACCACTCTTACTCAATCCTGTATTGGAAGTCCAAGCCAGAGCAATAAAGCAAGAAAGTGAAATAAAAGTCATCTAAATCGGCAAAGAAAAAGTAAAACTCTATTTGCAGATGATATGATCCTATACAGAGAAAATTCCAAAGATTTATTAAGAAAATAACTGGAACTAGTTGATAGTTTCCACAAAGTGGCACAGTACAAGATCGACATTAAAAATATATATATATATAAATCAGTGGTATTCCTTTACACTAATGAAGAGAACTCTGAAAAAGAAATCAGGAAAATAATACCATTTACAATAACCACCCAAAACATAAAGGGCTTAGGAATAAATCTAAACAGAGACACAGAAGAGCTACAAAGAATATTACAAAACAGTACTACAAGAAACCAAAGAGACCTACATAAATGGAAGAATATACCATATTCATGGATAGGAAGACTTAACACTGTGAAAATGTCCATACAACCAAGGCAATCTACAAATATAATGCCATCCCGATGTAGTTCCCGTGATCATTCTTTAAAGGGATGGAAAAGTTAATCATCAACTTTATATGGAAAGGAAAGAAAACCTAGATAAGTAAAGTACTGATGAAGAAGAAAAAGTCGGAGGCCTCACACTTCCTGATCTCAAAACCTACTATACAGCCATGGTAGTTAAAATAGCCTTGTGCTGATGCAACGACAGACACACAGACCAAAGGAACAGTACTGAGAACTCCAAAATAGATCCATCCACTTACGGATAGCTGATCTTTGACAAAAGGCCAAAACTCATTAAATGGGGAAAAGATAGTCTCTTTAATAAATGTGTTGGTGAAACTGGATATCCATTTACAGAAAAATGAAACAGGACCCATATCTCACACCATATACAAAAATGAACTCACACTGGATCAAAGACTTGAATTTAAAACCTAAAACCATGAAGACCATCCAAGAAAAAATAGAGACAAACTTAAGAGCCCTAACTCAGGCATAAATACACTATCAAATATAACTAAACATGTACACACACCAGAAGACACAATAGATGACTGGGACCTCCTAAAAAATAGATGTTTATGTGCATCAAAAGATTACACCACAGACACGGAAAAAAAAAAAAAATGGCAATGACTTATCAGAGAAGGGGCCCATCTCTAAAATTTATAGAAAACTTCAACACCTGAACAACAAAAAGACAAATAATTCAAAAAAATGGACATGAGCAGACACTTCACCAAAGACAACACTCAGGCAGCTAACAAACACATGAAGAAATGCTCCCAATCATTAGCCATCAGAGAGATGCAAATCAAAACAACAATGAGATACCATCTCACCCCAGCACTAATAGCAAAGTTCAACAAGACAGAAAATAACAAATGCTGGTGAGGGTGTGAAGAGACTGGAAGCCTCATATACTGCTGGTAAGACTGTAAAATGGTACAAACACTAGAAAACAGTATGGTGCTACCTTAAAAAGCTGGAAATAGAAATATCATATGATCCAGCAATCCCACTACTAGGTATACATCCTAGAGAAATAAGAGCCAGGCCATGAACAGATATATGCACACCCATGTTCATCCCAACACTATTCACAAAAGCAAAAACATGGAAACCACCTAAATGCCCACCCAACAGTGGAGGAATGGGTCAAAAAAACTATGGTACATGAACACAAGGAAATACTGCAAAATGTTAATGAGCAATGATGAATCTGTGAAACCTCTCATCACATGGATAGACTTAGAGGCCATTATGCTGAATAAAATTAGTCTCAGAAGGGCAGATACTGTATGATAGCACCATTGTGAAAAGTCAAGAAAAGAGTTTCACCAAAAAAACAAAATACATACATATATATATATATATATATATATACACACACACATACATACATATATACATATTCTTTGATCGTTATGAGAGGTGGGTGGGGAAGGGAGGGTAAACCACTAACCAGAAAGTATACGTATAGTAAGAGGTGCAGGAAAAGAATAATAGTAATATTTAAAAAAAAAAAAAAAATGGAAGTTATCTTGCAGTCAATTCCCACTCATCTCAACCCCCCGTGTTGCCAAGTACAAATGTCCCATAGAGGTTCTTGGCTAATCTTTGCAGAAGCAGATTGCCCAGTCTTTCTTCCAAGAAGCCCCTGGGTGGGATCAAACCACCAACCTTTCAGTTAGTAGCCAAGCACTTAACCATTGTGCCACCAGGACTTTTTAGGTATCTGAAGCCCTGATGGTGCAGCGGCTTAGTGCTAGGCTGAGAACCAAAAAGTTGTTGGTTCCAACCCACCAGCCCCTTGCATGGGAAAAAGATGTGGCATAAAAATGGCAGCCTTGGAAACCCTGTGGGGCACTTCCACTCTGTCACATGGAGTCACCAGGAGTCAGGATGAGCTCTTATGGCAATAGGTTTGGTTTTGCTTTTCTGTTTTAGTACACTTTTAATGGGTCAATGGTATGTTACATGAATTCTATCTCAAGCCATTTTTGAAAAGTAGTATTCTTACGCCAGCCAAGACTCTGACATCAGCTTTATGACAAATAGCCCTCTAATCCATGCTATTCTTTTTTGACTGCAGAAGTCTGTGGCCTAATGACATCTTTGGAAGCAGTTCCGACGATGAGGTCCAGACACTACTGAATATTTATTTCCGTCATCAAACTCTGGGACAGACGGGGACTTACGCGCTCGTGGGGTCTAACCAGAGCCTGACAGAGATCTGTACCAAGCTGATGGAGCTGAACATGGACATCAGGGACATGATCCGCAGGGCGCAGAGCTACCGAGTTCTCACGGCCTTTCTCCCAGACTCCAGTGCTTCCGGCACTAGTCTCTGACAGGAGGCTTCCGTCCCCCAGGCGCTCCAAGCTGGGCATGCTGCCATGCTGGGGTGACGTCCTGCAGTGTCTCCTCCATCTTCAGAAGGCTTGGTCAGACTGTTCTCCCTCTCTTGTTCCCTGGAGGACCTCCTCTGAAGAGGATGGCCCAACTCCCAACACGTAGCAATACTATACGGACCGAGGTAGCATAGAACACTCTAGAACAGACGCCATCCGCCCGTCATGCTGTGTGGCACCCACGCGTGATCATTTTACTGAGCAAATGCATCTCACTACTGAAGAAGGGACTTCCATTGCATACCAAAGCCTACAACACTGAACGATATCTTCCTTTCTAGAAACAATTTTAGATTGGCAAAAGTGCAATGTTTTCTTCACTGAGAAAAATATTTTCTATTCTGAAATTTGTACATTCTTTCCATCTCATCGTCCTTTTGCCCCTGCTCCCATTTTGGTGGGCTGAGAAAGGGGCAGGCAAGATGAAGCTGGCCACTGACAACTGAAAGACGGTCCCAAGCTGACAGCCTGTGTTGATGAAAAGGAAAATAAATGGACTGTGATTTAATGTACACTGTCGTTTGAATACAATTACTGTATCTAAGATGAGCTGCTATGAAGTACCTTTCTTACGTTGCTAAGCTACTGTTTCTGAACACCCTGGATCCCTTTCCAGAACTGTTACTAGGACCCTAGCACCAAAATAAAAATGGTCCACGTAGGTTTTTTTTTTTTTTGTTTTTTTTTTTTTTAAGATCTTGGCTGCTTTTTACTAGAAAGTTGCGTTTATGAGCATATTTATATTCTAGGAGGAGGAGTATGAATTTTAATGAACTTGAGCATTTTGTAGAAGAACCTTCAAGGCATCCACATTGTGAATTCCACGTCTGCTAACCCACACTGCGCACGTATATTTTAATATCCACTTAAGTAGCCGTAAGTAGTCATAAGGTCAAAGACAAGTTGTCACTGTTTCTTCAGAAATGTCTTATTTGTTACACATGTAAGTGTGTATGTCTGTGTGTGTAAGGCCGTCCTTTACTTCCTTAAGCTGAATGCTGTTAATTGTTAGCTGTGAACACGTGTTATACATCGCAAGCATATTCCAAGTTTATCTCTGTAACTTATTCACTCTGTAAATACATCTAAAGTTTTTGTGATGCAACCTTGGTTGATACTCTGTTCAGAACTTCCTTTTGACAAACAAAAAAAAAGAAGAAGAAGAAGACATAATATATATTGACCATGGATTTCATTTCTGGTTACTCAGCATTTTTGCCTGGGACACACATTTAGAGATTGGCATGTGGGTTGCCATGGTGACAACCCCAAGAGGCATCCTTTATATGTATTCTTTAGATGGTGTCTACTGGGTTGTGGGGCTTCAAGGCCAATGGCTGTCAGAAGTAGGTGGTGGCTGTTGTTGGGTGCTGTCAAGTTGATTCTAACTGATTGTGACCCGAGGCAACAGAGGAAAACTGCTCCCATAGGGTTTCCTGGGCTGTTACCTACAACAACAAATGACCAGGTCTTTCTCCTGAAGAGTGACTAGGTGGGTTCGAACCACCAGTCTTTTGGTAAGCAGCTGAGTGCTTAAACACTATACAACCAGGACTCCTTAGTCATGGAGAAAGGCGTTTTTGTTTGTTTTCTTTCATTTTTAAAGAAGGGAGAAATTTGTTCATGTGAAGGTTTCCCCAGTTTTTCCTCAGCTTTTCCACCTCCTCTCCTAGGAGTGGGGATGGGTGAGAAAGTGTAGGAGAAAGCTCTCTGAGGTGGAGCCCCAAATGAGAATGTGCCCCCTCAGTCAATTTCCATGGGCATGGTGCTGCCTGCCCCAGAAATAGAGAGGAATAAAAGTGTGGAAGAATAGCATAGATGCTGACAGTTGCTTCCAGTATAAAAATCAAAACAAAACAAAAAAAGGTCAAGCCACGTGAAGATCAATGATACAAGGTCCTTCCTCCAGAGCCAAGAAAGAGCCCTAGAGCCAGCACCTTGCATGTGGAATTCTAGCCTCCTAAACTGATACAAGGAACTCTGGTAGCGTAGTGCCTAAGGCACCTGATTGCTAACCAGAAGGCTGGCGGTTCAAACCCACCAGCCACTCCTCGGAAGGAAGGTTGGGCAATCTACTTCCATAGTGATACTGCCTCGGAAACCCAAGGAGGGGTCGCTATGAGTCGGGTCTGACTCGACAGCACTTAACAACAAAAACAACAAACTGATACAAGAAGCAACCCTCTGTCCTCAGGAAGAAAATGTAAAAAGAACACAGGTACTTTGTTTTTGCAAATAACACATGAGAAGGTATTGGTGAGAATGTTTTGTGCCCATTCCAAAGGAAGTTGATCCAAGAGAATGTGGAAATTATTGAACAATATCATTAATATCACATGCAAGTCAAATTTGGCTGAAAATAATCCAAAAACAGTTGCAGCAGTATATTGACAGGGAATTGCCAGAGATTCAAGCCAGATCCATAAGAAGACATGGAACCAGGGATATCATTGCTGATGTCACACGGATCTTGGCTCAATGCACAGAATACCAGAAGGATGTTTACCTGTGTTTTACTGACTATGCAAAAGCTTTTGACTGTGTGGATCATAGCAAATTACTGATAACGTTGCAAAGAATGGGAATTCCAGAACACTTAATTGTGCTCATAAGGAACCTATACAGAGACCATGAGGATAGAACAAGAGGATAGTGTGTGGTTTAAAATCAGTAAAGGTGTACATTAGGGTTGTATCCTTTCATTGTTCTTATTCAACTTAATCTGTACACCGAGCAAATAATCCGAGAAACTGGACTATATGAGGAACATGGCATGAGGACTGAAGGAAGACTTATTAACAACCTGCAGTATGCAGACAACACATCTTTGCTTACTGGAAGTGAAGAAGTCTTGAAGCATTTACTGATGAAGATCAAAGACTAGTCTTCAGTATGGATCACACCTCAACAAAAAGAAAGCAAAAATCCTCACAGCTACACCAATAAGGAACATCATGATAAATAGAGAAGAGATTGAAGTTGTCAAAGATTTCATTTTACTTGGATCCACAGTCAACACCCATGGAAACAACAGTCAAGAGATCAAAAGACATATTGCACTGGGCAAATCTGATGCAAAAGATCTCTTTAAAGTGTTAAAGAGCAAAGACATCACTTTGAAAACTAAAGTGTGCCTGCCCAAGCCATGGTATTTTCATTTGCCTCATATGCATGTGAAAGTCAGACAATGAATAAGGAAGACTGAAGAAGAATTGATGCATTTGAATTGTGGTGTTGGCAAAGAATATTGAAAACACCATGAACTGCCAGAAGAGGTAGAGCTGGAATGTTCCTTAGAGGCGATAATGGCCAGACTTCATGTACTTTGGTCATATTGTCAGAAGGCCCCATACCCTGGAGGAGGATATCATGCTTGGTCAAGTAGAGGGTCAGTGGTGAAGGAGAAGGTGGATGGACACAGTGGCTGCCACAGTGGGCTGAAGCATAGCAACAAGTGTGAGGACAGCCCAGGACCGGGCAGTGTTTCATTTTCTTGTACACAGGGTCACTGTGAGCCAGAACCAACTCTACAGCACCTAACAACAACAATGCAATGGAAGATAGTACTGTACCTTGATTTTCACAAAGAAAGAAAGATAAGTGCTATTTTATTGAGGGGGGCTCACTGTCATCGTGTCGATTCTGACTCACAATGAACCCCTCTGGGTTTCTAAGGTGGTAAATCTTTACAGAAGTAGATTGCCCAATCTTCCTTCTGCAGAGTGGCTGATGGATTTGAACTGCCAACCTTCTGGTTAGCAGTCAAATACCTTAGGAACTACACCACCAGAGCTCCTTGCTTCTGGGCTAAGGCAAGGAAAAGTCACCTCATAGCTCAGCACGTTCTACTGCCAAACACGATAGAGAAACGGGTACTCGGTAACTTAGATATAACACGGTTAAAATTATAGTCTGCAAATAAAAGTTTTTTACAAAAAGAACCATATAATAGGCAAGTGAACGTTTTGTCCCACAAAGATGTCAGTCTAAGTGAGAACACTAGTAGTGCAGTGGTGAACCACTATGCCGTTAACTAGAAGGTTGATGGTTCAAACCCGTCTGGCAGCTCCATGGGAAAAAGACCAGTGATCTGCTCTGGTAAAGATGACACAGCCTAGGAAACCATATGGTGCAGTGCTACTCATTCCTGTACAGTTGCTATGAGTCAGAACTGACTCAACAGGACCCAACAACAACAGGTAAAAATATCAGGAAACTGTGTTAGCGTGTCTGTGAAATAAAGATGTTTGTCCATGTTGGCATCACACACACACACACACACACACACACACGAGTCAGGTCTTGAGGCTCTTCTGGGTTCAATTCCTAATAAGCATTGATCTTTCTAGTGAACAGTGGAATTAAAGGAGCAGTAAGAGTGCATGAGGCCACTTACATCAGTTCCTTGCACCTACACCCAAACACAAGCCTGAAAAGCAACATAAAAGTTTCTATGAGTGAATTTTATGGTATGTTAATTATATCTCAATAAAGCTTTTTTAATTAAAAGCAGTTTTCAGTACATTTATTTAGGGTCAGTTGATACTTAAATGCCCACATAAACAGAGACATTATCATTCAGCAAACATTTATTGCTTGCACAACCTGGGCTAGGCATTGTTTTAGAAGATAGTGTACTTACCCAAAAAAGAACCCTGGACGTCTAGCAAGACTGTGGAATGGGCAGACAAGCTACCCAGACGCTCTACAACAAAGAAATGAGAAACCAATGGAAACAGATGCAGAGGATAATCCTGCAACCTAGAGCCTCAAAAGGAAGCTACAAAGTGGATTAAATACCAACTAGGAAAGGAAACTGAATGAAAACAGCAAATAAAGAGACAAATGGAGCTGTGGACTCTTGACTGGCCTGATGGGGAAGCCATTTTGAATATTTGCAAACAAGCTTCCAATTAAGGCAAGATAATTGACTCCACTTG